GAACGTAGTCCCCTGAATCCGTGGAGCCCTTGCAAAAATCCAACAAGAATGTGCACGGCGCTTGAGCGAAAAAAACATAATTTGAAAGCCACCAGCCCCAAGCCCGCAAAACTCAGGCAATCTTTAACAACGACTGTGCGAGGCGCTAAAGCGACAACAACATGTTGAAAACCACCCGCCCGCTATCCGTGAAACTCTTGCAATCTGTTGAAAACGAATGCGCGCGGCGAGGAGGCGAGAGCTACATTTTGAAACCACCCGCTCTCAATCCGTGAATGTTTGGAATTGTGTACAGAACGTGCGCGGCGCGAAAGCGGCCCGCCCTGAATCCGTGAATCACATGATGAAAGCGGCCCGCCCTGAATCCGTGAAACTCTTGCGAACTTTCAAGACGAATGCGCGCGGCGCTAAGGCGAGAGCCACACTTAAAAAGCGGCCCACCCTCCATTTCTGAAACGGCTGTGAAGTTTTAAGCACCAGGGTCATAAGTGGTGAGGAAGTCTCCGACAAACGCCGAGCCCCCTCTCGACCGGCTTCGGGGTGCGACACGGAAGAATGATATGTGAGAAAGTTTAATGGAGGTCCCGCAGGAGGAGGAGGGGATGGAAAGGAGCAGACATCAGCAGGTGGAGGTGGGAGGGGATGGTTTTTCGAGGTTTGTTCCGCCGCTGGGCGCCGATATGTGCCAGCTGCTGGGGCGGAGGAAGAGGAGGGGGAGGAGGAGGAGGAGGAGGAGGAGGAGGAGGAGGAGGATACGGCACTGCCGAGGGAAGCGTCGCGCTGTGCACGAGCGCCCACCAAGGGCGCCAAGCTGCTGGCAGCCTGGCTGGCCTGTGAGGAGGCTGGGACCCCACCAAGAGGATCTCGGGTACCAGCCACACAGACAAAGATACGGGGATTAAGCCCCGCAGCCTGGGTGAGAAGGTGGGCCCCCGTGGAGCCTGACCCAGTGAGTCTCAGGGTCTGAGACAAGTAGCGGACGAGGTGCGGGAACTCGACGTGAGCCCTCCAATCCTTCGTCCGCAGGATGAAAACCTTGCATGAAAAGGCGTCGGTTGCGCACCGCCCGTTCTGACAGGCGGTGCGTGCTTCCCGATGGGCAATCAATTAGGAGGTGACCAGCCGCGCCCGTCGTAAAAGCTCCACAGGAAACGCACAGGCAAACATGGCCCGAGGAAACCCAGAGTCGGTGGCCGCGAGCGGCCGTGGCAGGAACGGGGCCCGCTCCTGGCATAGGCTCGGCTGGTACTGTCGTGTCGGCCAGCGAGGGCCGACTTGCGCGCTTGGAGCCGATCCGCCTCCGCTTGTCGTGGAGGAAGGTGGGCCCCGAGCGCTCTGGAAAAGGAAGAACCCTGGCAGTGGCATCAGCCTGGACACTCGCAGCTCCGTCCCAAGCAAAAAGGGCGGGCTCGAAGCCCACGCGTGGCCTGACGTGCCTTTCAAAGCCAGGGGAGGGGCTACGGGGGCGAGGCAAGGAAGGGCTACCCAGGCCCGAGGAGGGA